TATGCCGGCCCGGCCGCCCGCCGGCCAGTTGCTAAGCCGGTCCGTCGATATCGAGCCGGCGGACGCTCCGCCGGCCGCCGCCGCCGGCCGCCGCAAAGGTCAAGTTCAGCGGCGCCGCCCGGCCGCCGCCCGGTCCCGTTATACACACTGTTAGCCCAGACTGGGAAGCGCGCCGGTCGGGTCGTTGACCCGGCGCTGGATCGGCTGCGCGCGCGGGAGGAGGGAGGGGGCGTTGAGGAGACGCGGCGCGCACGTCCCGCCAGGCCGGGCCGAGCGGCGGCGGCGGCGACCGATCGAGCCCGAGAACGACCGGATAACGAGCGCCTGCGCGACTTTCGCCGTGCCGTGTCGTGCCGTACCACACAGGCGGCGCCCGCCATGTTCCGCGGGCGTTACCGACCGCCAGCCGCGCCTGGGCGCCCGCCGGCGTGACGTACCGCTGGCGTCACGATGACGTCACCGGCTGCCGGCAGGCGTAGCTCTTCCCGTCAGGGTCAGTGACACACGCGCTTCCGCGAGCTGGTCGGCGTCACGAAAACAACGCTGCCGCCGGACGGAACAAACAGGGGTACAGTAACGGGCCGGCGCGGAACACCCACACTGCAGCAGCAACGACAGCGTCTTCGCGGCGGGAGGGATGGGTGGGCTGGGGGTGGGGTGGGGGCGCTTGGCAACAGTCAGAGCCTCGCGTGCGCCGTGAGGCGCCTGGCCCCGGACCTCCTGGCCTGCCGTTGACCCCCACGGGGTCACGACGTCATGTCGACCGCGACACGACGGCGGGAGCGCGGCCGCCCGCTGTGCTCAGCGACAGCACCGACGGCAGCACCCACGCGGGCCGCTGCCGGCGGCCGACGGCCCGGCTCAGCACCGCGCGGCGTGCCGAGCCAATAGGCAGGCGTCCTGCGTCCGCCGCTGAAGCGCAGCCGGAAGGCGGGCCGCTGTAGCCGCATGTTTAACCTCAGCAAAGAGCAGTGACCCGCGTGCATTGCAGCTTTCTGTCGGAGAGAAGCCGGTGCCACCCAGGAAGTGTCCGGCAAGGTTCGCACGCGAAGCACCAGATGGCGTTGAAATAAACGCCAGAAACGTGCAGGAGGTGCCCTCTCTTGCAGCAATTTTGTCGTGGTGTCGCTTGCCGAAAGAACAAGCTTAAGCTTTTTGGCCCCCGTTGCCCCTTTCGTGCTCGTTCGTAACGCAACGGCGTGAAAACACTGAGTATGAGAGCACCGTTACTCGATACTCGGCATCAATCGCACACGAGATAAAAGTCAAAACTTTCCGGAATCATTGCTGCGTTACGTCCGGTCCCCTAAAAAGAAACCTACTGAACGAATAGACAAACACTGAAAAACCCACGTGACATGTCTTGTGATGGAACCTCAACCTATGCGTTCAGCACTACCTGCGCCAAAACGATTACACAAAGAGGTTCACCGGGTCATCAGAGGGCACCTGGCGCCACCGGGCTACACGGCAGCCCCGGTCCCACCGGGCCGCAGAGACGGCGCCACGTGGGCATGAGGCGGTCGATCCGGATCTCTGGTGCCGGCGCGGCCGGACCTGTTCCGTCGCGCCAGTCGCCCGCGGCCCATGTAAATTCAGGGTTGGGGCCAGCCGCGCCGACAAAGGAAAGCCGTGTCAGGGCCAATAAAACGTTGAACCCGACCTCAATAGGCAGAAAGCTTTCACCGAGGAGGAAGAGTACAATTGGCGTTGGTGAAAGCCGTCTCGGCTAGTTTTTCCTGGGCGCGAGCAGCGGAAGAAAAAACCTTGCTCCAGCGATCCCAGAGCCAGGGGCCGCCGGCTCATCTGAACACGTCCGGGGGAGGGCCTTCCCGGACGGCCGGCGTGGGACGCCCAGCCCGACGGAGGGGCGACAATTAACCTATTTCGGACGAACTGGGCCAGCGGACGCCTGGCACGCAAAGAGCACCGCCGCGCCGGCCCACGCGGCGGCCCGTCTTCGGATGTGTCCGCCGCCCGGTGACCCGTGACCCGTGACCCGTGACCCGTGACCCGTGACTCGTCACCTGTGACGGTCCTCAGGCACGGACGACGATGGCGTCACCCAGCTGTTCCCGGAAGTGGACGCTGCTGCAGAGGTGTGTAGATCGCAGGACGTGCGGTTCCCCGGTGTGCTCAGTACAGCGGAGAGCAGCAGTTAGACACCATCCGACAAGCCCTCTGCACTGAGCGGGATATCCGGCGTAACTTCATCGTGCGAAACTTAGCGTAAGGGCGTCAGTTGCACGCATGGGCTCGTCGGCTATATCGGGTACAAGTGGAACAAGTTACACGTGGAGGTCACGTGACGCATTGCCACAGGCATACGGCAGAAAGCCTACTCGGTGAACCGGTATGGACGCTGCCTCCATGCCGGGGCCTTCCTGGACAGTGCCCACGCTCTCGGCCCCAGCACCGGGCCGCATGCTCGGGACCGGCTCGTCGAACGTTTGGCGCAGTGTCACAACGTACGTCTCTGGTGACGGGGCTGAAAGGTGTGTTCTGGTGTGTCCCAACGAAAACAGACCAGTCGTGCCGAAATATGTCGTCACACCACGGCCTCCAGCACATGCATGGCAGGCGCGATGACGCGGTTTGGCAGCTGTCAGGCCCCTGCGAGTTGAACCCCGTAACGGCAGCGTCCTCCTCATCCCGCCTCTGGCAAACCTGCGAGGCATCGCAGGCTCACCAGTGGAAAGGCAGCTGCTCGTGGCACGAATATAGCGTGGAGACACATACTGGGGCACGTGGCGTCGAAACGGTATTGTTCGCGCCGCGAAAGACGATTTCACTGCCGTGACCACTTTCATGACAATCGCCCATGACTGTGCCGGGAAATCATAGACACGCATCCACGCAAGACCTTATTAACATCGGCATCGGCTGGCACTCCGATGAAATCACTCTCACAAAAAACTGTTTTGTGTCTCCGTCCATGTTCGCTATCACAGCGCGCACGACAGCAGCCAGGCGCCCCCCAGCGTCATCCACCCGTCACATCAGACGCGTCGCAACACCAACCAATCATCGGCGCCGATCGTTCCCGGCGAGTCCAGCCGCACGACAGCGGCGGTCGGCCCATCTGACCCCGGCCGCCGTCGTGGTCACCTTGGCCTCGGCGTCGCCGTCGGCCCGGCGGTCACTGCCCCCGCCGCCGCCCCGGGCTGGCGCGGCGCCGGCGCGAGAAAGTGAGACCGGCCGCCGCCGCCGCCGCCGCCGCCGCCGCCGGCCGCCGCTCGTCGGCGGCACGTAAAAAGTGAAACCGGCGCGCAAGCGGCGTCAACGACCGCGCCGGTTTCACTGCGGGTGGCGCGGCCGGGCGCGGGTGCGTTGGAGAGACGCAAAATCTCGCGCTTGGCTTTCTAAACCAGGGCCTTTCGCTGCGGTGCGCCGCCACCTCTAGTTTGGGCAGCGGGACGCCTGCGGGCGCCGATGAACCAGCGTGACGGGCTCAACGCGAAGGGAATGGCGGAAGAGGCCGACCTCGTGCGGGCCGGGCCCTCCGTTACCGCGGTGATACGGACTGCGTGATCTTGAGATTGGTCACAAGATACGGGGAACGGAAGGAACTGTTGGACGTGACCTCCTGGTCCGTGTACGAAGGTCTCTGTTGCCGGCGCTCAATACCAAGCCGTGCCGAGGGCCGGCGGGACCACAAAAACCGGACAGGCCGTGCAAAGTCTTTAGTCAGGGCAGTTGAATGCTGCAACATCTATTGACACCAACTTCGAAGCTCACATGACGGAACTTGAAAAGGGTTTCCGCAAACGGGAGCCCGTGCCTGCAAACACTGCTACTCGGTTTGCTTTCAGCCGCAAACGGTCAGCGAAGGACGCCAACGATCGCACACTGTCACGACGCTAGCAGTCCATCATTCCTCATGCGTATTTTTATTTTCTATGAGCCCTTTGTGTTAATGTTTGTGACTTGTATTGCGGCGAACAACAAACTACACCCATTCTGGAATGCTTTCTACGTTAGTAAAATGTGCTTTGCAAAAACTGGATAGGTTTACAATCGGACACCGGAAAGCAAAATATTCATGGGCTGGGAGAAATTCGATGTATTTAAAAATAAAACATGTTAAAGAATTATGATTAAGTGGCATCCCTAAATGCTAACACAACAAATATTTAAATAAAAAAAATCCTGCAAAGTACACACTTTCCGGCATCTATATTGCCTACAGGGCCCACTGAGCAATACAGGTCATGTGCCCACACGAATGATAATTTCAGAAACTTCCTGTCGCGCACGAAGCTGAACTTTTCGAGCAGAACAGAGACAGCAATGCGGTTAGATTATATTTTTCCTGATCGATCATCGCAAGAATGTTATATATTGGCAAGCACGATAGGCAGCGGCTTTCTGGGCGAAAGAAGGACAAAGGGAGCCATTCTTGGTGGACATGTTCGGCATTATTGGTGGATAAAGCTTTATTGTCTGTCGAACAACGGGACTATTACTATAATTTCCCAAAGTTCAGGGCAAGCCAGGACTTGAGCCACACTTCTCCAAACTCGTCCTGTTTTTCGTTTCGCTTGGAAAGTTACTAAAAGTCGAGGAATACGCAATTACCGACCAATACATAGATTCAAATAACTCTCTAGCAATATTGATCCGACACTGAGAGATCCATGTAATTCCTTCGCCTCTTGTGCACGCTCAGTTCATCTCTCACCCCCTCCTTCCACCGCCCTTAACTCATGAACTTTTATTCGATAACAAATCGCTGATTTGTGTTGTCATTTGGGGTTGTCAGTAAACAATGCGTCATGATCAAGACATCAGCCGGCTTTTTTGAAACAAGGCGCGGAAAGTCTGGACAAATTCTGCAAGGAAGTTAATTTGCGGTTGCGATTTTTGGTGAGTGGTTTTAGCTTCATGAAACATATTTCATTCAGTAGTTAACCAATGTACAAAACACCACAGAAATGTACAACAAACATATTATGAAAAAGGCTAGATAAGACGGTGGGGCGAGTGTGTACGCCCCTCACCTGTTTGAAATGGGCTGCTCAGCTTCGGAAACGTCTGTGGCACCCTCCAGTTGACAAGTGGATGCTTACCTGGAACAATCAAGAGAGCGTATCACACATCCGAATAAGCAATGCAAACACTAAATACGGAGAACATCTTAAAACATCGTGCACTGTTAAACTCGTACATCACGTCGGCATCAAGAATGTCGGCTTTTGCATGAATGGCGGCCGCTTTTTGCCACCGCTGTTTTCATTATCACGCACATGCATCGAGTGCTACGCAGCACATGACACGCGACCGGTTGTGCCGGCCGACAGACGACCTCCAGCTGAGCCGCCGCCGACCTTCGCAAGACAGGGGCCAACTGCGCACCTTTCATATTCCCTACGCACTGCATCCACCTGAACAAAGACAGCCGACGGTCAGCTGCCGGCGGCCGACTGCCCCCGCGCTCCTCCCCCGCCTCCCCAGCCGGCGGCGGCAGCTCGGGTGGCGCGCTGCCGTCATCCGGTGACGGCGGCGGCGGCGGCGGCGGCGGCGGCCGCGACACGGCCGAAGGCTGCCCTGCGGCCGGCCGCCTCGACCGGCATTTCCGGCCGCGGACCTTGGGCGCCCCGCAAAAACGAACCGGCGGCGGCAGCAGCGACGAGTCGGCCGGAGGCGGACAGTAACGGTACACCGCCATTACGAGGGGCGCCGGCGCGACGCGGCACGAGAGCGCTAAGGGGTTCGCCAGGACGCTGGGGAGCGACCAGCGGCGAGCGAGACGAGTCACGAGCGGCCTTGGGCGTGCCGCGCAACAGTTGGGCCGCGCAGTGACACACTTCGATGCCGTTTTTCTGCGTGCGTCCGCCGCCAGGATCTCTGCAATGAATCTCGCCGATTCCCGAGTTCTGGATGATCTTCCAATTAACGGCGCTCGGTGCCGTTTTTGCGGACCTACTATGTAGGCCAGTGCTGATGGCAGATTACTGTCGCAACACAAAAAGCGCGGCACAAAAACAGATCGGCAGGTTTTGTCTGGCGTGTGCGAGCCAGGTGCGCTTTGTTGAAGCCGCCTACCGGGATATGCGGAAAGTGTGGCAAGTGACTATATCACACGAGCCAATCTGCATCGGCGGCTGGGTTTCTGTAGTATCTTGCTACGCATCGCAGTAGTACATGCCGAATTATGAGGAATGTGTGTGCAACAGCTTGGCCTTTGGCAGTTCGCTGCACATCCACAGAGAGCCGCCGCGCTGATGTCATCAGAGCTTCAGGCTAGTGGTTCGCACGCTCCAGGCCTCTGTTTTAAAATCTCAAGCTACAAATAACCCCTTCACGCGTAGCTGGTCCCTCCATCTCTAAACCACAGTCACGCCAAGAAGCGGAGCAAGTGGGTTAGTTAAAACATTTGGTATCATTCTTTCTGTTAGGTTCCATGATAATTTGATTCCTCTCAGTTCCGTAATCAAACAGCTAAAAGTGACCGCACAACATGTAACGAGACACAGCGAGTACGGACAAAGCGCCTTTCGCAGACGCTTTGTCGTGGCATTCGCACCGACTCCGGCGCTGAGGCGTTCGGTCCTTCGGAGGCGCCGCCTCTGCCGTTGCCGGCGCGCGAGGCTCGGCAAGAGGAGGCGAAGAGTGACCGGACCTGGGCGAGAGGCCAGGCTGCCGCTGCCCGTCCCCGCACGCTGCAGCGAGGTCAGGGCCAACGGCGGAGGTGAGGGGCGTCTTCTGGCTGAATCAGGCGAGCGTGCAGACCGAACAGTCCACCCTGACGCCCTCCGCCCCCCCCCCCCCCCCATCCCCACAGCAGGGAGACAACGGTGTCAGAGGAGGCGCCTGCGCCATGCCCTGCACATGCTCTAACACAGAACCTTTGGAACCGCGTCTGCTCTGAGTCTGAGGGGACGGAACTATTTCCAACATACGAGACACGCGCGCGACTACGGCAACTCGAAACATCTCGATGTCCAATCACCGAGACAGCTGGAAAGACCGAGATCGAGTCGGCGGTCTGTGAGGACATCCGAGAGCAAGCAGAATCGAGACCAGCGCAGAGCGGGTGACCTCCAGAGCAGCCGGGTCGCTGGGCCGTGTGCATCCCGTGGCGCCGGGCTCAGTTTACATGGCCGCCCCGCTTGTCGCAATGGCTGCCGGCAGGGTCAGGGTCGTCCGGTCACAGGCGGCTGCCGTCTCGCCCAGAGCACTCAGCTGATCGCTGATGTTCGCGTCAGAAGTGGGTCGGCCCGCGGACTCAGGCGGTTTATGAAAAATGAAAAATTCTGGTTAACTTCAGCAATGCGTTGCATGTGTCGTCGTGGCATTGAACCAAGGCCACTACCGCTGCTGACACGTTCCTATTACGCTGGGAGGGAACGTGGTCAACAGCAAGATTGTTGCAGACTTCCGCGACGTTCGGCTTAGTAAAAGAATCCTGGCTGATAACAGCAACCGAACCAAAAGTGTGGTGATCGCCGGATTACTGGACTGATCACAATGGTCATCGAAATCACCTGCAGATGATAAGCCATGATGCAACTTAGTCATATCAAGAACTGAACGAGGGCTCCTTTTTACATAACACGCGGACTTTGACACCACCCCAGTGTCATCAGCCTGCCTGCGTAATAGCACACACGACCCCTGTCTTAAGCGCGAACTCCGTCGCATCCATCAGCACCACTCGGCTCCGGAACCGGCACGCATCAGTTGGACCAGCGCAGAGTGGCGGGCGAGGGGCGCCCGGTCTCGCACACCTCTCTCCCGGGGCTGCAGGAGCGCGACGGTCGCAGGCCGAGTACACGTGTCTCGCGGCGAGCCGATGAGCCCGGCAGCGGCCGGCCGGCAGTCTAGATAAACAGTCTGTGGCGCCGCGTCTGGCGGCCGGTCGGCCGCCGCCTCGTCTGCGGCTGAGGTCACCGCGCAGCCTGGCCCCCCCCCCCCCCTACACACATACACACACTGTCTATCCCAAGCCTGCTCACTGGCGCGAGCGAGCTGCCGGAGGATGGCAGACCCGTTGGTCGCGGCGTGCTCGAGGGCGGCGCGCGCGTCCGAACGGCCGCCCGAAGTATGCGGCACGAGACCGCACCCCCAGCCCCTCCCCCCACGCCCTGAGAGTCCCCAGCCGCCCCAGTTGCATCAGCTGGCCCACGCCGGGTATGCTGAGTACAAATCGGCTGCTTCTAGTCATCTCCAGAGACAAGAGCGCAGGAGCGGGAGCGGGAGGGGAGGACGGGGGGGGGGGGCCAGTGTCGGACCGCACTGTCTACAAAAACTAGACCGCCCCAACCAGGAAGCAGAGCCGCCAGGTGCCGGGCGCCGCCGGCGGGCTGCACCGGAGAGGAGGTGCGCAGACTTTGACGGCGCGGGGGCGGCCGGGCGCCGCCGCCCGCCCCTGCGCCGGCGAACCTTAAAGGTCAACTGGCGCCGCCCGCGCGGCCAGCGTACGTCATGTGTGTCGAAACGCATGGGGCCCGCCGCCGCCGCCGCCGCCGCCGCGCCGCCGCCATCGCCAACGCCGGGCCCCACGGCGCCGCGAGCGGCAGGGCTGCGGTCGGCTGGTGCGCCGTCCCCGAGCTCGCCTTCGCAGCGCATGTGCGTGTATCGAGCGAGCCCCACGCTAGACAACTGCGCAGCGGTCTTCGCCGAGTGCAGCAGTGGCGAGGACCCGCTATGGGACGAAAGCGCTTTTCGGGAGTTCGTCAGGGACAACAGATCTACGCGGGCATAGGATAGTCCGACAGAGCTGCACAAACTGGACCTTTGAAATGAGTAGACTTTCATCTTGACTGAGGTCTTCTGATAGCAGACAAGCCACGACTTAATCTATCGCGGGGCCAATTATGGTGTCGTAGGACTTAAGAAAACGAGTGTTGGCTTCAGTTGTCGTAAACAAGGCTCTTAACACGCGACCTCTGGGGTCATTATTTGCCCCTGCGCAGTCATGTGGCAAATGTCAGGTGCATCAAAAATGGCCAGCCTGAATTTTTAAAAAGGCAGCTTGCGAACCGCTTTGGAAAGCCCTACAAAATTTGTAGTATTTAAAAGGTGATTGACTTTACACATCCTGGAAGGTGCCATTTTTATGTTAATTCAGGTCCTCAGGGCGTGACATCGACAGTAGCTTGCAAAGTGGTCAACAGTCCTGTGTCAAACACCAGTAAGACCCGCAGGTTTCCACGCCACGTGGAGCCGGGATAAAGTGATCAGGTCCATCAGAAGCCTTGAAAACTATAGTTATTCTGAAATCAGTGGATAATTCCGGTTACATCAGCTCCACAACCATAACAAATTACGCAGAAATGAAGAATTGCCACTTGTACGCTTTGTTTTTGACCATGATGCTGTGGAGTGGACTGCACGTTGTCGTTATTAAAAGCATCACATCAGTGTGCTCCTCCGACTAGGGCTACAGTAGAGGCTTCGTAGCTTTGAGTGACTGCTACAGGTTAAAACAAGAAATCGAAGCAAGAGAAAAGGCCAGGACTTTTTAGGATTCACCTCCACATAATTCTTCGGCGGCCACAACCAGATAACAACATTGGCAGTGCCTTTTTTCCACGCTTCCGTACCATTTCAAGTTTTTTTTTAAACTACGTGTCATGTTGAAAATGGGAGTTTGAGCAACTCCATTACCCATGCAGGCTTTAAAAAAATTATTCCAATATCGTGAAAAAGTGGCACAGGCTTTTAGAACATGATGAGTTCTATGCCCGTTTATAAGTATATACATCATTCAGCATCAGCTGGTGCAGCGTACGGTCCAGCTACCATCCTGCCAGGAATCCAGTATTATCCTGCCAGGAATCCTGCGCAATACCACAGCTCCATCCATTGTCCTCGCCTTTCTCTGCGAAGAAAGAGACGATTTCCCCGAGCCGAAACAGTCAGCGCTTTACCAATGTGACGGCCACGAACTGCGCAGCTCGCCTGCCGCCTGCTGCCCCTCCCCCTCTCTCCTCCCCTCTCAGCACTGGCCCTCAGCAATGCATGCAGGGCCAGCAAAAACCCCTCCGCGATCCACGCAGACGCCGCCGCCCGCCCGACCAGGAAATGGCCGGATACTCCAGCGATGACTAGCCCGACGGAAGACTGTTTGTGCGACTCGCAGTGGACGGCGCAAACAACGCGCATGCCCGGCGCAAAACAAGTCGGGTTTCGGATTAGCTCGCGGCTGGCGCTCTTCAACGCATGCATTCAGCCCGCGAGCAGTGAGCGGCGCGGGCCAACACCGACTGCGGAGCACAGAAAGCCTGGAGGGATCGCCATGTTCCCCGGCCTCCAGCCACGCACGTCGGACGGGGACGTGGCGCAACAACGCCCGCTGTTCTTCTCTACTCTACGGCGCGCTCTCGGTATTTAATAGCCTTGAGCTCGCGTGGCCATGGAGTTCACGACGGGTGAGACGAGCCTTGAACTAGAAATCGGCCGGTTCCACAACCGCAGTGAGTGGCAGGCCAGTGCGAGCGCTCAGTTCCTCCCGGATACAAACCGCGTTCAGGAGTCGACTCCACTGCGCCACGGCTTCGTTGCTCTGATGGGTGCACAACATTCACATGAGCAGATTGAGGAGAGGTAATCGAAAGCGAAACGACGCCACCGCGCATCACCAACGCAAACAACGTGAGCGCATGCACCTCGCAATGCCTTCGAGACCGTTACGCCGCCGGTCGGAAAGGGTGTTCAAACGCGCCGCGGGGCGGTTTGTCGCCGGTTTTGTTTAAGACCCCGGTCCCAAACACCGCCGACGTCGCCCCGTGGGGTGGCTGCGGCTGTGTCGGCTCCGGACAATGCGTTTCCTTCCCCTGAACTGATTCTAAAAAAGCAAAAAAGCAATCATCGGCCTAGCGCCAGGTGCTGGTTTTTTGCTGCTTTCGACCCGGCGCTAGCAGGGTCCGTCTCTCCGAACCGCCATAAAAGGGAAAGTCAGTCTCCTTACCCGTGCCAGACATTGAGCTATTTATGCCCCCGCCAGTCTTGAATTGTGTAACGCGTCGCGCGGTCTCCAGTGACCGCTTAGTCGACGCCGTGCCTCCAGCGAAGGAGACCTCCCTCCAGCCGGCAGCCGGTGACGGCTCCGGGATCTACGCTCATTATCGGTTCGGCAGCAAGCCTGCTGAGACCAGACCTACTCCCGAAGACTGCGAGCCACTGGCGTCGCGCGTTGATTTTGCTGATTTTAGGAGCGGCAGCTGGTTCGGAAGCCGCGCCCTCCCGAGTGTCCGGCTGCTGGGCTTCGAGGTTTGCATGTGCAGCTGTCTGCGCTCAAGAACCACAACTGGGCAGTCTACACCAGCGCAATGCAATCGACGTCCGACGCCGTAGTACCATAAGGGCAGTGACGTGCAACTATCACCGCGGAACACTCTCCCCAATATCGAACACAATGCAAGCCGTTTTCTGTTCGGTGCCGCGTCAGGCGTCGGCTGCGGGGGCATCTGGTGACCAGCAGAGCCCGCCTCACACGCCAAGGCCGCGCCCTGTGCGCGTTTTTCACCCACGCAGCATCACCCGCCACCGCCGGCAGCTCAGTGAGGTTTCGCCAAGCCCGCGCCGGCAGCGTCGGAGCCCCGTCCAGCGTCGGCCACCGGCAGCTGCGTGCCCTCGCCGCCGGCACCCATCATGACCGCCACCGCGGCCGGCGCCAACAGCGCTGTGTTGCACGCGCCAAACTGGGCCAGCTCGCGCAAAAACCGGTGCACTTCCGACGTGGCAAGGGCGACGAGGCCGGCGCATGTCACGCCACGCGGCAAAAACGGCGCGCTTGCAGCGGCGCGCGACCACCGGCGCGCGGCTGTTTGTGGCGGCGGCGGCGGCTGTGATCGGCGCCGGCGGCTTCCGGCCGCTGACGCACACCCGGGGATGGGCCGCACGCGCTGCCGCGGCGCCCATCGATTCGCCGCTGCGGGGTACGACTGGCACGCGCAGGACGCTCGCGGCGGCTCAGACCAGCGTCCCCCCCCCCCACCCTATCCCACCCGAGGCCCGTCATCGGGTCAATAGCGCTGGAGCAGTCATCGCCACTGGACAGGCTCATCTGGTTTGTGTAACAGAACAATGGTATTTTTGTTGCGATGTTAAGTGAACAAGGCCGCATATTGCGACTATGTTGCGCGTTGCAGAGTGGTGCATTTTCAGTCGGCCCGATCTTGCGCTTTTACATCTTGAGCGCATTTTATCAAAGGTCATCGCCAGCTGCTATCAAAGTCCCAATGCTTGCTTTCATGCTACCGTTACGTTTCATGCCGCAGGAACGCGACCTATTCTTCAACAACACGACCTGCGATAGTCGCATAGCAATACGACGGAACGAAATGCAAGCTGCATCAAAAGGGAGCCCGAGCTGGGAGTGCTTCACCTCACACACGCTGGCTGAACTCATTTACAAGGCTTGCTTGATGCTGGCTGGTGTCCAGCACACCAGCGGTGTACGATCCGAGTGACTAACCATGGCACAAAGCCCAGCATCCAGATGGCCAGAGGCGGCGGAGAACAAGAGGGAGGGACAACGCCCCGCAACTTGGAAAAATAACACTTGCCCTGTAACGCCGCATAGAAAAAATGACCTCAAAGTCCGTCGCCCAAATCCAGCGTTGTTGCGGCGCCGCTGGAGCGGGCCTGCAGCGTTGGCCTTGTCGGCGCCGTCGGCCGCCACAGCACCGCGCCCGCAAGGCCAGCGGCCGGCACAAGAACACGCCGGCCAATTCACGACGAACCAGGAAACGTTTTTGCCGGCGAATCATGAAGGCATAAACAAGTCAAGGGTTGCAAACAGCTCGCGGCCGTCACGCCACCGCCCGCGTGCGGCGCGTGAGGCGCGCGTGAGCCTCGCCACAAGGTCCCGGCCGGCGGGTCAGGCGCCGGGTCGGGTGCGCGCGCCGCCGGCCGCCACCCTAACGGGACCGGCAGCGCGCCCGGCTGGGAAAAACGGGCCGCATGCCGGCACCGGCCGGCTGGCCTACTTGACGGGAGGTCGGCCGTTCCTCCCGCGCGGCTACGTCCGGGCGCCGCGCCGCTGGTCAGACAAAGGGGCGCCACGGTCGCCGCGGTCGCGCCAGATAGCGTCGCGCACAGGCAGCCATGCAGGCGACTCTGCAGGCTGCGGTGGCGACGCGTATACCGCCAGGAGAGCGCCGGCAGCCGCCCGAGAGCGGCCCGCTGCCGGCGAGGCGGGACACGCCCGGCACCGCCGACGCAGCCGGCGTAGGAAATCCCCACGACAGTCGTACGCTGCGTGATATCGACCGGCGTCGGTGGTGACCAGCGGAATTTCCGGTGAATCAAAACGGCACTGGTGAAGTCGGCTTTCCGAAGCAGGCAGGCGGCAGCTGGGCTAACCGGTTTGGCTTCCCATGCGGCCTAGAATGGAATGCTACGGTGCCTGTACCTGTTGCACCAAAGTCTCACGCATAGTGCCGGTGCGAAAGCACCGTGTGCACCTCGCCCAGGGCACGAGCGGCTGCCGCATCAGAACGTCGTACTCAGCAAAGGAGGGGGTGGGGGGCGGGGGGCGCTCGTGGCCGGTGAAAACAGCGCACGGGCTACGTCATGGCTCTGAACTTTGCACCTTCGAGTGCAGCCGCGTCCATCACTCGGCTGGCCCGCAGCGACCCTGACGGCGCGAGCCACAACGACGGGCGATCCGGCCCGGCCCGTCCGGGACAGACTTAGTGCGCTACCCCGACCGCCTGGCCCCGGCAGGTCACCCTGCTCTGCCCCACGCCGCGCCGCCGCTCATCCGCGACCCCCTCCCGCGGACAAACCCGGCCCGCGTACCCTGTGACCCCTGACCGATGCAGCGGACACCTGGCGGCGACGACACGAGGCTCGGTGGCGCCCAGGGGCGGCCGCTGACAACACGCCACAAAGAGTGCCCCGTATCAGGTAACGGGTTCTGCCGCAGCAGTAGTAACACGGCGAGCAGTGCAACAGCCGACGCAAGGAGGCGGCTGCCCGGCGTCCAGCGTGGCACGACAGGGCCCACTTCAAGCCGGGTAACGACGGCAGCTCGCCTGCGTCGACGGCGACGCGCGTGCTCACCTGACGTGTAGCGGGCCAGGCCCTCTTCAGCCCGCAGCTCGCCGGGCCGCTGCACCTTGATGTAGCCGTTCATCGCGGCCGCCTCAGCCGAGCGCCGCGCGTCCGCATCAGCAGACGTCCACATGCATGCACCAGCCAGCCTGCCAGCCCGCCGGCCTCAGGTCTCCACAGTCCGTCCGCACTGTGCGTCGCGCGGTTCCTACGCTAGCAGCTCGCGGTCACTGGCACCAGGTGTTCCCCGCCGCCGCGAACGCCCCGGCGCGGACCGCTGCGCTCCGAACACGCAGTGGAAGTGGGCCAGCGGTGCGGCGCGCGGCGCGGCCGCCGCCATGACGTCATAAGGTCACGCTGACGTCACGCGCCCGTCGCCGCGCCCGACCTGCCCCACACACGACTTTCCCGCGCGTCGCCTTCGTCGGCAGGCCGCTGCCGGTGGCGGCGGGCCCCGGTGCACGGGTGGCGGGGGGCAGGCGGAACGCCGAGGGCTGAACAACGTAGGGCGGGTGAAATCACCGGCGACGGCGCTGCATTCCGTCGGCGCGGCGCCAGCTGGCCTGTGATAACGAGCAGCCTCAGGGACTCCGGCTCGCGCCGACCGGCCCGCTCGGAGCTCACGTGCGCGGCGTCGCTCACCACAGTGGGGCTGGCGGTCGGCTAACGCGGCCGAGTGCGCTCGCTTCGGAACGTGACTGGCCGTCGGCCGAACGCTCGGAGCGGCTGCTCCGCCGCTGGTCGTGTCCAGGGTCCCGTGCCCGATCATGCCTCCGATCTGTCGTCGACAGGCTCGTTGGCACCGAACAGAAGGCCACACGCGCTCTTCTGAACAGCATAACAGCGCTGTTGGCAGTCGGCGGCAGCGCGCACACCGGCACGCATCCAACTCATCCGTCGCCCTGCGTTCAGCAGTCGGTCGTCGTCGAACCGACAGTGATGACTGTCGGCCATCCGTACAGTGACGGCTGTCGGTCAGCCGTACAGTGACGACTGTCGGTCAGCCGTACAGTGACGACTGTCGGTCAGCCGGACAGTGACGGCTGTCGGTCAGCCATTCAGCCGCGCAGATTAACCATACAACCACGAAGATCAGCCGTACAGTCACGCAGATCAGCCATACAGCCATGCAGATCAGCCGTACAGTCACGCAGATCGGCCATACAGCCACGCAGATCAGCCGTACAGCCACGCAGATCAGCCATACAGCCATGCAGATCAGCTGCAGCAGCCTCTCGATGCGACCAGCCAGCTTGTAAAACCGGTTCATCGGCACGTGACGAAGCCGTTCTTCGCCAGCCATCACGGTGGAGCGCAGGGAAATGCTGCGGCCCTGCGACCTCCGAGAGGGCGCCGCGGTGTCGTGAAACCGCCGCGAAAGGCGACGTCATCGACCGGGCGATGACGCCGGCTGGTGACACACCGTCTCACTTTCGGCGGTGCGCGGGCGTCGCTCGGGGCCCGCGTGGCCGACAAGGTTGCTGCTGCCGAGGCCGGCGCCGGTGTGGGCCTGTGCCAGCCGGGCCGGCGTGCACCCCTCCCCCTCCCCCGCCCACGCCCCCGCCCTGTCGGGAGACGCGACGGTTGGTAAATGGCCCTTGGGTGGTCCGACCGACGGCGGAACTTTCCTGCACCCCAGCGTAAACACGGCAGCTACGGGGCACCCGCTACCGGCGACCCGTGCGTTGGCGAAAGGCTAATGAGATGAATCAGGGGTGGCTGACATGCATGTTTTTTTGTGCCGGTTCTGTTCTTAGTACAGAATAAGCCATCACTTGGAAGAACAGGCATTTAGAGGTCACTTCGTAGCGCCTGCTACCAAACAAAAGCGCTGAGTTCGTCCGATGAGCTATTGTTTCATTCACTCACAGATAACGGTTTCACTAGAATTGATTGCTAAGATGGCATTGTACTGCCTGGGCGCTTGCGCAATATGCAGTACAATATACAATGCAATACCGGCAGTACCACATGACAAAATATTTTTACCGGCACAAATACGCTTATGTTGCCTATTTACCATCCTGGACCCCAGGATAACCAAACTGGCGGTTACAAATATGCTGCACGCGAGCGCAGGCATACGGCCACAAATTAATTTACGAAACCCGACAGAGTGCGGACTTCACCTTGAGGCGTTGCTATGAGTGAAATAAGGTAATATTTTCAGTGCGTGTAGCTCAGCTGGCGACGAATGTGAAACAGGTTTGTGGACTCGCAACCTAGAAATTCCGTTACGAAGCTGCGCCGCTATATGCTACGTGGCTGGTCTTTGACTTTATTGAAAGCTGGCCAGGAGAGGCAAGGCTGACATCTTGACAGAGATGGCCATGTCGGGACATTGCATAACACGTCAAAATCTTCCGGCGAAAACTATGGTTGAACTGAGGTCACTTTACTGGGGAGATGGGGTCAAGGTGATGAGAGGCCATGGTTAGCAGACAAATAAAAAAACCATGCATGTAAAACATTTGGTAAAAAAATAATTAAAGTATGCTGTTATGCCGAAACTTGACGCTGCAGGCGTCTAGGCTTGCTGGTTCTTCGCAAGTCACTTCTAATTTTTTTTTAAGCCTCAGGTCAATTACAGAGAGCGTGCAAACAAACAAGCAGTGCAAATAAAAATTCAAGCGAACTTTTTCCAAATTTCAGGTACAGAACGACTTACGCAGCTATCCTCTTAAATCTACCACGACGCAAGGTACCATACGTTCATGCTCATTTGCTCCCTACAAAAAAACATAATCAAAGTCGCCAAACTTCTTGCTAGAAATGAAAAACATCATAACAGAGCACCAGTCATACCAAATAACAAAAGTGGTAACCACTGATTGCCAACACATACTTTTATTTTGTGTTGGCAAAAAAGCAACAAGTGTCACGGCTGGCAGAAGCTGGCAGAAACCGCTTCTGCCAGACAGTTTTTTTGCCGGTTAAAACCGGCTGGAAGAAACTGACTTGTAGTGGGTGGCAGCTAAACTAACTTGTAAGCCGGGGTAATACTGCAAACCATGGGCAGCAGCCAGCGGGGGCAATTTCTACCAGCTAGTTATAACCCAATCCAGGCAAAAATGTTGGCAGAAGCTCCAGCCAGAAAAGCCAACAGAACCTGCTACATAATTTTATAGCAGGTTCTGTTGGTTCTGTTGGCGACCCACAAATGACATGCTACGATTACAAAGCAATGCAGTAGTTGGTTTAAACATGCATTACCAGTGACAAAACCGTAATGAGACTGATTGGCTGACAACTCCGTGTTGGCCACCGTGTGGTCACTGCTGTTGAAACAGGCACAAGCGGATTGAAAATCTTGTTTTGTAGAACCAAATTGAATGAAAAAAATTGGCATCCTGTCGAGGCAATTGTCTCATTGCCGATCCCTCCATTTCGATCCTGCACACGAAACATCGGGAAACATGAACAGGGTAGACTTCATACCAACGTATGGCTTATGGACTTGGTGAGCCTTGTATAAGACTCCATATGCATACCACAGAGTCAGCAATGGCATCATTTCGTACTGTGACCTCTTATTGCACTTCACAAAATTTCGAGCATCAGCCGGCGGTTATTGACTTCAAGCAGATTTGATTGTACTCTGAGTGTGTTTCAGTTTCTGCCAGTCTACGCCAGTTTAGATCAGTAAAACAAAAAGAGGAAAAAACAGAAGGTAGCAAATATCTGTTTCATACATCTGAAATTTCAACTCTGCTGCATCAAGGTGCATATAACCGCCACACACCCAGGACTAAATGCAGTCTTGAATATACGATACAGCTACCGCTATTTTTTTCAAAGTTAGTGACTATTTCGTATGCTATTTTTCATTCACTGTACTGCCCACGCTAGCATGACACCGTGGTAAAACACCGCGGTGTAGGCCGTGGTACAATCTGAGCAGGCAGCAGATCTGGTAGCGCCGCCAAGACTACGGAAAGTTACCACGCTTGGGCGTTACGGGCTCGGCGGAACTATTACGGACGCATACAAATATGCGTGATTTACATAAGTCAGCCCATTGTGCACATTAAATGATCATAAGAATACAAAATAATGGTGCGGAATACAGCCCTGAACAAATGCAGAGAGCGAGCGGAGTGCATGTTCTGCAAACGACACAGATACCTTATTTGTACCGGCAAAGACCGAAGGGGATAGCAACGAACTGTGTTCTACGTTGAATCAATGTGAATCACAACACACTTTTTTAGTGCAATCTCGAAAACATTTTAGGGAATCCCCTCTTTTGGGCATCTCTTCTAGAATGTGACATATTGCGCAAGCTTTGTTATGGTTTTTGGTGCAGTAAATAGTTGTGAGTGATAATTGTAATCGCAAGCGGTGAAGATAAAGTCCTGCGGCATCCCGTTGTTAAATGGCCCGTTTCCAATCAGCTGGATAAGTTACGTAGTCAGACGTTGTTCACCTGAGCCACGTAACTTATGCACTTTGTTCTGCCACTATTTCAGGAAGTATGCTAAAAGAGACACTTTAGTCTTGAAAATATCAAAGTAAGCGTCAGGTATGGTGAACTAAGCTCACGTATTGGTATACTCTTAAATGAAAACTTCTCCAGACAACATGGCTTCTCTGTTTAGTAAGTATGCTCCTTAATACGTCATTTTTTGATTATGTAATCGTGCCTTGCACAACATTCATTGAGAGCCGATTGACAGGCGTTATATCTGGAAATCGTGCTCACGAACGCCAGATATGAACGACTCGAAAAATGTTACTGTTTGCTTTGATCACCGCGGACTGATGAAATGACAAGATTTGAATGGCGTTATTATGCCATCATGGATGCCCGAATGGCCTTGAAATATTCTCTTCGAAATAGCCTGCACATTTTTGTGGTCGTGTAGCTCGGAAATAAGGGGGGCTTTGGTCTTAAGGGGGGGCTGAGCTGTGAACCGCCCTTCTAAACCAAATGATCTTCAGGATAGTTTTTTTCATTTCAAAACGCCACACAAATGTTAAACACCACCTTGATACAAATAATCATTGTATCAATATTTTTCACACGCTTCCTGACCACGTCATACGCCAGGCCAAGTGCCAACAATTTTCCCAAATTCTCTTGAATCGCAAATCAATTGAAATTCATCATAATAGCCATTAACAAATAATGTGACTTAACAGAACTGGAGAGGGGGAACACAAATATCTGTTACATTCTACGCATATATTTGTATAAGTCAATGCAGACGGTGTTTTCTCAAGTCGAACCTTACAGAAAAATTTCGACGACTTCGAGCTCCTACACACTTTCATGCGGTTCATTTACAGTGTTACGTAATAGGGCAGGTAGTTCGAAAGGTGGTGTGCCTATCAAATACATTAACTATCCTTGCTGGAATCGGGTGCCCGTGCCGTCCTTAGTTGTAATCCCACAGTAATAGAAGTTCGCCAGTGAGCTTAACGCTATTCCGGAATACATACGTGACGTGTTTCGCTCCGCAGATTATTGAAGATATACACTATTAAGGGACCGTACATAAATCACTTAACGTATGGAGGGGGTTGAGCGTGACTTAAGCGTAACAATGGGATAGTTTAGTTAAGATCGAATATCACTCCTTCGCAAACCATACTGGAAAGTTGTTCAAGATGTTTTGAGCAGCGTAAGCAGGGGATAGTGTTCTATTCCAGCAAAACCGGTGAGTTGTCATGTTGAGGGGTGGGCGTGCGACTAAAAGGTGGTCAAAATGCGTAAAATAATTTATGGACGCCTCCTAATTATTGATCTCGGAAACCATTATTTTGATGCCGTTCCCGTCAATTTCTTGCAAAGGGCTTACCCAGCACTCACGCTGATTGGTCGATTGGTTCGAAATTTTCTGTGCTTTGCGTCGTGTAAATGTCGCGTCATAGGACGGAGCGTTCATATTGGTGGCATTATTCCTTTACTTGGATTAGAAATGCAAAGACACTTAGGCAACTGGTGGGGTTGCAACTCCTGTCAACCAGCTTGTGAAGAAACAACAAATTATCGGATTAAAGGGCAATTCGGTCGGATCGATAAGCATACCATGAATATATAATCACGCACCGAGTAACATTTCATTATCAAGTTTGTCGTCCTCAGCAATAAGGTTTATTTGCACGTTTAAGAGAAGTTATAATGGTGCTACGGATCACTCTGACCTCCCTAAACCGAGGTCGTAACCGCGGTGAGAACATCATCATGGCAACGCCGAGTCCAGCCCTCCAAGACGGGATGAGGTCGAAACCGGAGCCATACAAAGTATCCGAGGCCGAAGCCCAAGCCAGCGGTCAAAAAAGGCACAAAGCCAAAGCCGAAGCGATTGAGGCAAAACTGCGACCTCGCGA